ATAATTAAATTAATTAATAAATCATTACAGTTGTATTAATAAATGTATATTAAGGGAACTAACTATTAGTTTTTAGGAGTTTGTCTCCGCATCGTTGTTTTTGGTTTGATCACTTCTCCTTTACTGATAGCTGCCACAGCCATGTCTCTGTTATCCAGCTGATCGTCCTTAGGTATAGGTTAACACAATTACAGAAAATACCATTGTTGAAAACAAAACAATTTCTGTTTTCATCTATAATTTTCATTTACAATGCTAAATAAAATATTAGAATTCCTTTCTCAACAATCGGTGGAAAAACCTTCACCTGCGCCAAAGCGACCAAACGTTTCTTGAAATTGCTGTAAAATTCGGGGCTCGTTCACTGCTTTTTGGTGACTTATTCTTCAAGTATTTGATCCTATAAGGTCTCTTCCTCATTTCTCTAATCTCCAGACAGATTCTCCATCAGAAACTGGATCCTGATGGAGAATCTGGTGGAATGATTTTGCAAATGGTGAAAAATTTTGAAAATTGCTTTAACAAACCTCAAAATGACTTCACTGTATCATAAAAAGGATTGCTTTCAAATGTTTGCAATTAAATCCAAATTTGATATGGCTCCATTGGCTTGATTTAATCACAGCTTCAAACTGAGGTTATGAATTGGCTCTGTATCAATAAGATGAACTAAGCTGGATTAGGCTTTTAGAGAAACTGGATACTTTGCTTGAAATATGTATATTTGCACAACATGAATGTGGAAGAAGTGGTTCAGATCCTGCACAGGAAATTCTTGTCGTCCCAAAACTAAATCTAAATCTTTAGAACAAAATTGATTTCACCTTTTATTTTTAGGATTGATAAATTACTCCAGTTTTTTATATTTTGCTATATATCCTTTAAAATTAGGATTATCTTTAAATTCCACAGCAGGAGAGTAAAGCTTGTTAAAAAGGAAAACAGCTAAAAAGCTCTGAATTTTGATTCTGTAGGATCGTTTTTTCTACACGGTTCAAGTTG